CTGCCCGCTCGAAGCCTGGGCCACCGGTGGGCTGTTATTGATCTGCTGGCCCACGGGCTGGGGGGACACCTGGGCTGGCTGCTGCTGCCCGAGATTCGGAACTAAAGCCTGCGACGGGGCTTTCGCCACCGGCCCTTTGTTATCCCAAGTTCCAATATCCATGTTGTGTTTTATGGGAGGCGGGGGAAGACTTGACCCTGCGATGCCATTCTTGGTCTTCAGCTTGGGCTGCTGCTTAGCGGGTTTGCTAGCGATGTCAGCCCAGGAGGTCGGCTTCGGAGGGGCGATAGTAGCCGGAGGCAAACTGTTGGACGCCACGATGTTACTGGTGATGGATCCGCTGCCGACGGCCGAACCGACGACTTTGGGGATGCTGCTGGCAACGTCCGTGCTGCCCAGCTTGAGAGCTGCCATCCCTTGGTCGATGGTGTTCATGCCAGGAGCCTTGTTCAGAGTCTCGTTAGCGAAGGCGGATTGCCCGTCAATCATGGCTCCACCCAGCGAGCTAGGGGCATAGGCGTAATTGCTGCTGTAGCCGGAGCTTTGAGTGGATTGTCCCTGAGAACTGTTATTCCCCCAAGCCGAAAAGTCAATCCCGCTTGGAAAGAAGTTAAAGCCGTGCTGCCCGAGAAATGGAGTGCTGCCAAGGGCCCCTGGCTGCCCGAACATGGCATCTGGGAGGAAGTGAGGCTCCCCGTTGCTCAGCTGTCCGTAAGAGGTTAGGTAGGGCATGGGTGGGTCACCTCCCGTAGACCAGGCAGCTTCGCCTAAGGAGTAGGAGAATCCAATGGAGGGACTGTAGTAGTTGGGTAAGTAGGAATCGGACATCGCAGTGTATGCATTATTCTGGAAAAAAAAAAAAAATCCAAACAAAAAATAAGCACTGAATAGCTAGAAGGAGTTGAACACACTTCAAGGGACCAGAAATAAAAGCCATCTTAGACTTCCCATGCCCCACCCCTCCCTACCTTAGGGCTGGGCAGATAAACAGGCCCGGCCTTGAAACACCTCCTTTGTTAGAAGTGCTCTAAAAACTGTTTTATTGCCAGAAAGATTAAACACAAAAGCTCAGCAAGCTTCCCGTGCCGAGACCGGAGCGCACTGTGCTCCTGACATACGCTGGGTGACTGGACACCAGCCTGAGCAGGAGCTCTGGGGCAGTCTATAAAATCGATATCGTACCTAACACCCACGTATGATCTTCTACATTTTGTGGCTACTGCCAAAGAGGGCTTTTCTTGCCCAGGTAACCTACTTATCAGCCCTTATTCTGGGTTTGAGGGAGGCTTTGGGAGAAGGATGCAGAGAGAAGTGGAATATGGAGGAAAAAGGTCCCCTGGAAGCGCACTGCCAAAAATCATGAATGTCCTTAGTTGCCTGCCTTAAACTTATTACCCCTGAAAGCAGCTATATCCCCCGCAATTTAAAGGTTCAGACTCTTAATATTCCAAGAACCTGCAAACAAACAGGGATTTAAAGCCTCATCCTCAAAGCACAAACTGCTCCAGCGCTTGCAGGCACATACTAAAAAAATACCTGAGAACGGGGAGTGGCCAACAGGGTTTCAATAGGGGCCCTTTAGAGCACAGCGACAGCAGCAGCACAAGAAAGCAGGCTTCCAATTCAGAGAGGGGGGGGGGAAAAGCTGCTCCATACCTTGGTTCCTTTTTTACCATCCAAGTAGCCTTCAGGTTATGAAAAGAAATGCCTCATTTTACAATTAGGGAACTCTCCGACATCACCCAGATTGGCTCACAGGAAAAACATCTGTCATTTTACATTCAAACCAACGCCCCCTCCGGGGAGCGGTTAAAGTCATGGCTAATGGACATTATCACCCAGTAATTTGAACCTGTGTGCAGCCAGCCTCACGCCACACAGCCACCCCAGTGCAGAGGAGATGAAAGTCAGGTTCCCTTCCCATTTAAAAAGCCTGGCTTGCAGCAGGCTCTACTCCCATTTTTTTTCGTTGAATCGTTGCTTTCACGTGCCAAGCGCAGCTCCCGAAGGACTTCATGGCCTACTGAAATCTAGGGAGGCTCTCAAGATGGCTCTGGCACCCTCCAGAACGAGCTGGTTCGCCTCTCCACCTTCCAGGGAGTTAAAGGAAAGCAACAGGTTTGGGGCTGATCCAGCCCCAACTTGACAAAAACGAACAGGAATTTTTTAACTAACACGTGCACAGATGACGTTTTGCTTCGTTGTATAAAAGACTAAAAAGCTTTCTGTGGTACTTCATGGCATGAACACATGAAAACTCAAAGAGTCACCCTCTCCAGCCTTTCTGTTTTCCCAAACAAGGGCTCCCAAAAGCAAATTCGTAACAAAACTAACTCTCACCCAGGGCACGGTGTTACTAACAGAGCAACCCACTCCTGCTAAACCCAAACCAACAAACAGTCTGTCCAGCAGCACGAACATTGACACTAATTTGTAAGGCAAATGAAGGAACTTAAAAAAAAAAAATTATTATTTTGAGCCAGCCAAGTCTCTTCAAAAGATAATCCCCCCTCAGCTCTTAGAGTAACAATATATTCTCCTGGAAATTCACTTCAATGGAACATAAATGTGCCAGCCCTTACCCAAAACCCGAGCCCAAACTGCACCAGCTTTTCTTTCTCTCCAAGGACTAAGACTTTTTGTACAGTTATTTCCTCTAATTCACCGTTTCCTCTTCACCTCAGACCAGACCCAGGGTTTAAGCTTACTTATTGCTGCTGTTGGGCTTTTGTTTTTCAAACTGCTGAAGAATCACTTAACACACAGCAACCTTTTACCAGGCTGACAGGCTCGTAACAGTCACACCTGAAACAGCAGCTCCTGAATGAAGAGCCACGCAACTCCACCTCACACTTGTGTGGACAGCTCAGAAAGCAATTTCAGAAGCCACCAGTGTGACTGCAGCAGCGGGCTGCCCCGAATTCCTTTTTCAGAGCCCTCTCTGTAACTCCCTTTCCGTCTCCAGAAGAGAGGCGTGCACTCAGTATGGCTCAGCAGAGCCAGGGTCCTCTCCAGACTGAGCCCAAGGGGGTTGTTTTCGATTGTATTGAGCATCAAACCATGGTTGAGAGCTGAGAAGCCACACAGCCTGGCGAGACGCTGAGATAAAGTCACCCTCAAGTTTTGTTCAACGTCACCAGGGCGGTTTTCCCTCACTCCTGCCGAATTCCCAGAGCGATGGCTCTGCTCCACCTCCCGGGGACGCTCCAATCCCTTATCTTTAAGAGGTATTTTCACCAGTGTGACACACACAAAAAGAAACAAAGCATTCCAAAGTTCTTCATCAAACGTGTAAAATATCATGTTGCTTCTACCATTAACATTCACCCTTTTCAGGAGATTTAAATAAAACTACCCTTTGCAGGAAATACGTCCACATTCAGGAGGAAGCTGGAAATGGGTGATGTTGATCTCTGGGATAGAAAAAAATCATCATTAAATGACAGTTACGAGGAAAGTAGCTGGTTTTATTCAAGACTTGAGAAAGAGATCACAGTCTCTCAGCCCATGCAGGTTGAATTTAGGCTTGGAGCTTTTCAGGGAGCTGAAGGCAGTAAGTTATCTCAACGGACAGGCTGAATTCTGAAGATTATGAACAGCTGGCAGGGCCTTAAAGAACATTTAACCTCAAATCTTTAGCACAAACTAGGAAAATACTTGTTGAAAATTTTAACTGAGACAGAAACCCGCGCTTGTGTTCCAATAAAACATGCATGGTCATCACATGAAAAAATATACTGACTAGTAAAAACAATGAAAAAACAAAGGGAAAACCAGAACAGCTTATTTTTACTAACCAGAACTGGAGGGGAGAGAGAAGCCAAGAGAAGGAACTAACTGCTCCAGCGCTACTACAGATGTGTATCTATAACGCCTGCTCGTACCACCTCACCAGCTGAGCTCAGCTGCGATGTGTCACCTTCCTACAGCTCATTAAGAAAAAACAAACAAAACCCCAGGTAACAGTGGAGCTACTCTGAACCAGAAAGTTTCGAGGAAAAGTATCTGGAAGTCTGACTTTCAGGAGCTGATCACAAGCTCTCCAGCTCGCCTTCTATCTGAAGTTCTCCGAAAGCCTGAACAGCCTCTATCACGTGTGCTCTGGGTTTTTTGTGGTTTTTTTTGGCATAAGATAGAGAAAAGCCCATGATACGCATTTCCAGTTTGCTTGCTGGAGAGATAACAACGATGATAGTCTCCTCTGAGAGCCCTGGGAGCGCAACTGCATCGCGTGAAGCGGTTTCACAACGCGATGTCGTGCGTCTCCTCGTACGGGGTGAAGAGCCAGAGGCCAACACGGAAACAGCTTCATAACAGTAAAACTGAAAGAGCAGAAATGGCAACTTCGAGGCAGTCACGTTGAAAAAAAAGGAGCTGAACCCCAACTGTAGGAAGTCCTGACGCCCTCGAAAAGTGGCTAAACCCTTTATATCTCACCCACCAGAGTTTAAGGGCATTCAGTGTTTTCTGCCTGGAGAAACGCACATATAAAACAGCGGATCAGGGTAAGAAAGCTGGCAAGCATCAATCAGGGGAGATGGGGAAACGAGAGAGGAGGCCAAGTTCGCCTTCACTAGAGAGCAGCGGGAAGTCCCCGGGGCGTTTAGCAGGTTCTCTTACTCACCGGCCGGGCCTGGGGACTCAAGTAGGGTTCAAAGTCGTCATCATTTAACCCATCCTTCTGATGCACGGATCCGTTTTGCACTGAGGGAGAGATGCAGAGCGTTAGAAAGAACCCTGCCGATAAACTCCCAACACTTGCTGACTTACAAAGCCAAAACTTCTAACACAGCTAACCCCTCATGAGCCACAATACACCACGCTCAGCCCAACAGAGAGCGGAAAGACACTCCACCACCGCACAAACACTCGTGAACTCCAAACTTTCTCCAGCCCCAGAAACGCCGCCGGGCTTCACAGCCCATGGTTTGTTTGTCGCCCAGCCACTCCGCGGCGTCAAGGCGCGGAGACCCGAGGCCATACCCAGCAAATTTCGGAGGAGATTCTCCCCGTCCCTCCCCCGCGGGCACGCTCCCCAAAAGCGCAGCTTCCCCGCAGGAT